AGAAATTAAAACATTATAAATGTAGCCAGTATGCATTCTGCCCCTTAAAATAAAACTGGTTATAAGGTCCGACTTTATAAAAGGTACAATTTCAAATTCACAGATCAACTCAACGCATATTTTATTATTGCCCATCTGTACTATAATCCTGCCTCTCTGTAATCTTACTAACCATAGTACAGCATATAAACAGTATGTATTCTGTCTCGTGGACAGGTGAAAGAAAACATTGAGAATAAAATATGCAAATGGACATAAATATACCGTTTTTCGTAAGGACAGGCAGTTACAGTGGATTTTATACTTTGCACCACAAAATAGGGCATACTCTTATGTGTGCCGTTTTGGTTTGAAAAAGCAAGTCCAATATAAGCATATGCAGTGTATAATATGCAAGCTAACACATTAATACAATTTTCACATTTTCATTATTTTCTAACATGCAACAGCCTCAGTGCAAGGTTGGGTATTTTTAGGGCATGATGTGGTGTGTGTAGCTACTATATACCAATTGATAATTCAGAGACGTTATTAATTAAAGTAGACCTTTGCTAGATAGTTAAGTCCTGTTTAGACACAATTGTTAGTAGATGAGTGGGGTTTATTACAAGCCAAAAACTGTGATTAGTACTTAAAATTTGTTATATGTAACAATCCCCACTTATCTAGCCCGAAATATTAAACACAAAAATATTTAGAAATAGTGTTTTACCCAGTTCTGATCTCAGAAAAAGTATTCTGACATTGAATATTTTCCTCACTCTTCTCTTACCATTGTAGTCCAGTGGAAAGTAGTCGCTTTGGGTCATCAGGAAACCTGAGCCAGACGAGCTCCCAGCTTAGTGAGACTGGCCAGGAGAGCACTGGCGGGTCAGAACTAGAGGAGTCCTTCCACTCCTACCACAGTACTGGCTTTCACCCCTCTGCCAATGGGAAGACACGCACCAATGGACATCTTTCCACCAATGGACACTCTTCTGTCGGTGAGCAGGAGATACATAGGCTGTCCCCTGAAGTAGGACAGGGCCTGAAAAATGAAACTCCAGTGGAGAGAGGGTCCTCTAAACTCCAAAGGTATGGTTTCTGCTCAGAATTCAACTCAGTTTTGCATGTGCTATAATGAACATGCATGGAAACTGAGAGATAATCTCTCTGTTGCTCTACTCTTAAATCCATGTAACCCAGGTTCCACGATGATGGGCCACCATTACCCTTTTCCCCATCCAGAGTTCGTTGGTTGAAGGCCATCAATAAAGTCAGGGTTCAGCTCCGGGAGGTAGGCACCACCAATACCTGATCTCTGATCACCTCTGAAGTCTGACTTCCTTACCCTCTTCTTTCACACTCTACTACACATATATAAATAAACATATGCATACACAGACATATACAACCAATTGCAATTTTTTGAAAGTGGTTGAGTTTAACCTCTTTGATTGTTTAAGATAATGCACTAAAATGTATAAGAATAATATTATAACTGCAATTGTTTTTTTTTTAATTTTTTGCAACAAATCCCATTTGCTCCTCTGTGCCCTTGTGGTGACACACATTCATTATTGGGAACAGTGGGGTACACAGACAGATTGTTGATAGCCTCTACTAGGGATTTAGTTCATCATCAAAGGCCCCCGGGATTTCATTTTCAAGTAAAGGTTGACTTTATTTGATTTAGTTTAACCCACCTGTGCCTGCAGCCAACTTGTCATAAGCTTGCTTCTCTATGCTACAGCTGTCCAGCAAACATATGCTGCTTGAATAGAGAGGTAAGATGGTCCTGCCTAGTTTTTAAGAAACATAGCATTTGTAATTAATTTTAGATTGGTTAATTGTATCTCTGTTCATGGCACTGTGATTGGGAGGATCAAGTATACTGTTGACTGTCCATCACTTCATTTTTTACATGAACCATTACTTCAGGTACCTGATTCAGATGTTCTACTATGACAAAAATAATGTGGTTTACTTGTGCCATCATTTGGACAATCGAATCAGAGGGAAGGATTTAAGAGATGAGAAGGCGTGGCAATTGCATCAGCGGAGCTGTTTATCTCTTCATCATCATCAAATCACATGACATTGTTTTGATCTTTATCATAGCATGTTTGGCTGTTGCAATATAACCTCATATTGAACCAATCTCCAATACCAATTATAGAGAATTTGTATCCACTGCATGTCAAACGTTGTTGACTCTAATCCGGAATCTTAGATCAGAAATCTTGAGGGTGGTCCTAATAAAAACATCACAATCTCTCAGCCCTAACTGGAGTTCATCCCCTTGATTAAGCTTTTTATGGCACAGCAGTAAAGGTGTGGCTCATATAGAACCTTGCTTGGCTCCATTATAATGATTGGTTTGCATGGGCTGGTTGAGACGAACATGTACTGTAAATGATGGCTGATTGAAGACATGAATATAAATGGAAAGCAAGGTGAAAGCTGTCTACTGTAGGTGCTATTTATTACAGGATGGAGGGAAACACTGTGGACACAAGTCTAAAGGCTGAAAAGACAGTAAAGAATTTGAATTGTTTGTTAATCTGTCTAGCAGTGCAACAGTGGCCAGAACGCTAGGCTTGACATGATAAAACATCCTCACATGCTCGCTTACATTCAAAGAATGAAATGAGATGAGATTTGTAGCTTGTTTACAGTTTCCTCGGCATATGGGAAAATCTAGATCAGGAAGTGGAACTAGCTTTTCAGCATTTGATATGACTGAGCTGCAATCTTTGAGTAGAATTGACTTTGTCTTTACAATTTTACGTTTACAAGGAAAGGCTATCACTGAGTGCAGGGAAACCAGTGTTACTGATATGTTTATAAGGACTGTTTTCACTTTTTATAAGTAGAAATAGAAAAATCACAAATATCAGCAACTGGCAGATGTGGAAACACAGAGAGAGAGAGTGAATGAGACTGAGAGCTGGCAGTCTCACAGCCTCAGATTAGCTTTGTGCTTGGAATACATTGCCAGAGGACAGAGGGGAGAGAGAGCAGAGAAAGCATGCAAGAGGGTGGGAGGGAAGTAGGGATGGCTACTTAACTGAGGGTGAACTGCTGTGTGATCGTAGTCTACCACTGTCGTGCTTGCCATTCCAGTGGTAGAAATGAGGGATTCAGCACTTCTGCCTCTCTGTCAGTTAAAGAAGATCTGCTGGTTTAATTGAGGCAGAGCAAGACATTCAATAATACACCTGGGGATACATTTTGAAGGACAGGAAATTACATTACTATTATTTATCGGCCGAGCCACACGGATTTAACGGATCTTAGAAGACATTATCTACAGGTTGTTCTTGATTATATTTTTTTCTTATAAGGTAAGGCTTACATTTCAATATATATTTCTGTCCTTTTATGCACTTAGAGTTAAGTTTATGTAGACTTAGATTCAATAATATGGTATTCCATGTTATACACAACTAATGTTTGGTTAATGTACATAGGAAAGGTCTTATGTGTCTTAGTACTTCTACAGAAAGGACTGAATTTTAGCCTGTTTCAGTACTCAGGTAATCTACATTTTCATAGAAAATTCCTTGAGAAGAAGTCCACTTAAAAACTTGAAAAGCAAGACATCTTTTTTTATCCAGGCCACAGACCATTTATTAAGGAGAGAAAAGAGATTGCTGCAGGCTATTACTATGACTGGCCTGGAAAATGGGTCTGACCCCAACCAGCCCATCAACTTTTCTTTATCCTGGACAGTTAACTAATAAAACAATGACTATTGTAGTGCACACAGTGTATCGTGGCTCTGTGAAACTAGTTATACAACAGATGTAATTAAGCCAAATGTTCCAGTTTATATTTATTTTTAGGTTATTTAATTGACTCATCAGTAATGACGGAACATTTACACATGATATTTTAATGCAAAGCATAATGCTCATAGTTCATTTTGGATAGCCAGATTCCATTTAGCTGATATGCTCATCAACTTAATTTAAAATTTAGTAGTGATAGGAAACATTTAATTTTGATAGGCTTGATTATATTTCTCTGCCTACTAAACCACTATCAGGCTAATGCATAACTTCTGTGCTCAAGTGCTCATTGAAGACCTCCAGTGCAAGGGTATGTTAATGTAGTTAGAAACAAAAAACTCTAATAGAATAGAAAATACACATCAAGGTGTAACATTTAGGGACATTGCTAAAAAGAAATGGTATATAATATTTAGAGGTATGTCTTCATTAGTGTATCATCACATCATGTTTTAATTGCCCTTAGAGTGAGACATTTTTTATCTACAGACACCGTTGGTTGCTTTCCATGGCGGTTGCCATGTTGAACTGCCATGTTTCTACAGCAGGCCAGAATGGCGAAACCAAATACTGGCTCTAGATAGGGCCATTCATATTTTCAGGCAATTTCCAGACACTGTAGTTTCCCCTTTGGGCTTGGAATGGGAGGGTGAAGTCAGGAAGTTGCATGAAACATAAAATCAGCATGCATCCTTCTTAATAAGAATAAAATAATTGTGTTTTGTTTAAGGCTGTAATTAAGAAATTGTTTTAAACAAGTTAGAAAACCATGGATGTTGCCCCATTTTCAGTTACAAAGATAAAGCAATAAAAAAACAAAGGAAGATTAACAGTTCACTTTATATATTTAATGTTCTTAAAATGTGGCATTAAACGGTCAACTCAGCTTAAGGATAAAAAAATCCAATAAGAACTTCATATTCTCTAGTTCTAACAAATCCTACTATGTCTAGTTTAAGGGCAGTCAGCAGGACCATGACAATTACAGGATTTTCTGAACTGATTGTTGTCTGATTGTCTATATAGTGAGGCTCTCATGTGCCCTTTCAGTATTGTAAACAAGACCATGTTTATCAATTTTACCAGTTGGTTCACATGCAGAAATGAATTTTGACTACATACTTTCCTTGAGTATGTAATGCCATCAGATAGATTTATGTTTGTCATTTATGAGGTGTTCAATGATGCCTTTAGTGTGTACACTGTAGGCAATGGGTCATAGCTATCAAGCCATGCAGCTGGTATGGGTGTGAAAGAATGACATGGCCTTAGACAAGAGAATTGACCTGTCATCTAATTACCGAGCTGCCTTTCCAAAGCATCCTAATTACAGAGATCTAAGCAGCTGCATGGTGTTCATTCTGCAAGTTGCTACTCTAACTGAGAGGAGGTCAGTTAAAGCAACACCGTCTATACTATTTCCATACTGTACTTAGTGGTGTAGTCTGTCACAGTGACGCTATATATTAGTTTAAGATCTCATATGTTCTTAATGTTTTAAACTTTTTCATCTGCAAGTAAAGCAACATTCTGCCCTATTTTTAAAAAAGAAAATGCGTGTAGTACATTGCCATAATTTGTTGACTTTTGAAACATAACTATCTTGTAATCAATGTTTAATAATGTGTCAGAGTTACTTCTTTTTTTCTCTCTCTTAACTGTCTGGTCTGTTGGTCATAGAAAATTTATTCCAGTAAATTCAAAAGAATTAATATTAATGATAAAGCTATTTATTTGATCCTTTGCCTTTTCATTCCACTATGAGTTAAAGTAGTCAAATATGAATATGATAACTGAAAAATGCCGAAATGCTGCTGAAAAAAATCTTCCTATTTTATGGCACAGATAGCAGAGCTAGATTCTTCAGTAAATTTAATTTACATGTAACAAATGCAGATTAGTGCTTGGAGTTTTCACTGCTTTGTCAACAAAATAACTTACTTGATCCTGTCAGTCATGGTGCAGGTACTCATTTGAAGTTTAAAATGTTGGCTTATGCTTACACCATCCTAAGGAGGAGTCACTGAGACAGTGGTTTGTCCATGTGTGGAAACAGCTGATCAAGAGTGCCACTTCTCAGGGATGTTCCCCAGAGGATGCCTCAGTGAACAGGATGAACCCTACAAATCAGAGCTACTTCCACTCTCGCCCACGAGGGGAGACCTGCAGAAGAAGAGATTGTGCAGAAAGCTGCAGGAGTCTCTGCAGGGGCCAGAGGATAACTCCCTTCATGACCTGCCGTCAGTGGATACCAAAGCTGAACTTACCCCGTCTGAGGAAAACAGCAGTTCTGATTGCCAGGATGGCATTGGGGTTGTGAAGGATTCTGTTCCCAGGCTCATTGAAAAGATCAGAAATGAAGAAGAGAAAGAAGAGATGGAGGATAAGGAGGCAGAACAAGGCTCTAGTAACATAGTGGAACATATTCTAAAAGAGCTGAAAGGTATCAACAAGATCCAGGAGGAAATATCTGACCTGAGGCAGTATCTAACATCTGTGCGAGGCTCTGTGGATGAAGTATCTTGTTGTGTTGATGCAGTGCTCAGTGAAATAGGTGAGCTGTACTCTGGGGCTTCAGCTGCACCTCATCCTAGTCCTGTTTCTCAAACACCTCGCATCAGACGAGGAAGCTTGGGTAGGCAGAATGCCGTAACATCTCTTAAAGAGAAAGACGCCACTTCACTGTTGGATCGCAAAGATTGTGGAAAAGATTCAGGCTATATACCTTCGCACAGATCACCCAAACAATGGCATGTCGATAGAGTCACTCTCCAGTCAGACCAGCAAACAGACCAGCAAACAGACCAAGAGAACTCGGAGCAAAGTTCAAACATGAATATGCTAGGCCCTACAAAACCAGACCCCTGCTACCAAGAGCTTCATCGTGGTTATGGCTACCACAGCACCAGCTCTTTGTCATCGTGTCACAGTTCCAACTGTCCAGAAGCAAGCTTTCTTTCTGGTGACACAGAATATAGCAGGTGGACTTCTGTTGATATGCAGCACAGTGTAAGTGGAGAAGGAGGTTGGAGTGAAGAGGACATCTGCTCTTGTGCAAACAGTGCAGAAGAACTAGACAACTGTCTACGTGTTTGGGACAGGTGTGCCACAGAGGAGACACAAAGTAGCACACCAGGTCATTCTTCACAAAACAGCTCTGAGCATCTCTCATTGTTGTTTGGACACCCTTACAACTCTCCTTCGAGTTCTTCCAGTATGGTGGACTGGAGGCCCCCTAGACTGCAAACTGAGGAAGAAAACTTGGAGTGTGACTGTTCTGCAAACTGCCCATACTCACGCAGCTCTGGTTACCACACCATGGATGCTTGTCCAAATGACCTTGGTAGTGGGCCCTCCAGGAGTCTGAGTTGCTCCACAGTGCTTCTGACAGACTGTGATGATGGTTACCTGGAGCCACATTCACCGTGCAATGACTGTCCATCGTCTCTTGACACTCTTGATCTGGGGTCCGCAGACAGTTTGGACAGGGAGTGGACAGATCACAGCATCTCCAGGGATGAAGCAGGAGAATCATTGTCACAGGAATCTTCTGAAATAGATCCTGATAGTGCCAAGACCCCCAATGTAGGCTTTGATGTAACAACGTTTAGCAAGGCTGTACTCACTTTCAGGTCAGCTTTGAAAGGGGCTTTGAAAAAGTTGGAAGGACCCAACCCTGAAGGGGTAAAAGATGATAGTGAGTCTGAGGCATCTCCACCCCCTCTCAGACAGGCCAGTGTACACGAGCAGAGCAGTACAGAGTATACAGAGGGAGAGGTTAGTCTGACAGAAAACCACACTCAATTTGACTCTCCAAAGGAGGGCAGTGAGTCTTCGGTCTATGTGGATTGTAGCGAGACACATGATAACTTGCAATGCTCTCTTCAAGCATCTCCCCGTGAAGCAAGCCACTCTCCCTGCACCCCAACTGAGTATCACTCTGTTGAGATTTCACAGGGCAAAGGAGAATGTCCAACAGATGGGGAACTGTCCAACCTTGATTTAACACCAGACCACTGTCCAGCAAGGCAGGGGGAGAGTCCACTGGTTCCAGTGCTCAGTACAGATGAGGTGCAGTTAAGTCCAATTAGGGAAAACCACATTCTTGATGAGGTTAATCAAGGAAAGTCTACTGATGCCAGCCACAAAGAGCGTATAGCTAATTTCAAGCGCATTCTGAAGGAAAAGAGGCAAACCCGTCATAGACTGTCCAAATCGGCTCAGGGGTCACAGGGGTCACAGGGGTCTTACGGCTCTCAAGGGTCTCAGGGATCCCAATCTCAAGACGAATTTATCCCAGGTATAATCTTTTCTTTGACTATAATCACTGGCAAGCCCAGTCATAGCTGCAAAAAAATACACCTTAAAGCATGAAATTATATAATTAAATGTACATCTATTGCATTGAGATTAATATATATTTAGCCTTGTACGGGTATCATTTATAAACATTTGTTGATTAGAGAATTGTTAGTTGATCCATTGTCTCTTTAAATCACTACCATGAACATATGGTCAAAGTAGTTTGCTCTTCCATAGTATTCTCCACAATTTCTAATTCTTTAATTTTTTCTCTTTGCAGAGTGTGGCAAAGAAGATAATCAGGTTACTCATATAACATTAGCTCCACATTTAAGCTATAGTTATTTTTTTCTGTTGATTTCAATGTTGTGGGATTTTTCTCCATTACTTGTCTTTGTCAAAGGGAATGCTTGTGTACCCTCCAAAGCATGCAGGGTTTTATTGAAAACTTCATCTTGCAATTCTGCAATTGGCTCCATCACTTCAGTTATTCTGCATAATAAAGAGTTTATTATTGGTTTAATTCATGTTGTATCTTTAGAGTACCATTCCCCACTTCTGTTTCTAGTGCTAGTGTTACAGCAGCTGATTTATGTTTTCCCCAGAAGTTTTTCAAATGCCATCAGAAATTCGTACTGTAAGAGTGAACCCCAGAAGGATCTCCACTTTCAACATCTGTCTTCTGAGAGACAGATATGTAGATGCTGATGAAAAGTTTACCTTTGATTAAAAGTAAAGGAACTACATGTGTAGTTCTTCATTTACAGTTTTGATGGTTTTGTGAAGTCCTTGTAAAGTTATGTAGTGTCTCTTAAAAGAGTTTGTGGCAAGAAAAGTTATTTTAACAATCAACAATTGCATCTNNNNCATCTTTTACAATTAAAGAGTCAGTTGTATTTGAACCTGTGTTTTAAAGGCATTATCACTATTTTTTTATTTGACTTTGCATGTTCTGTAACATCAGAGAGGTGAAACTCAACTAAATACAACTTTCCATTACTTCCCTCTTCTTATGATATATATTGCTGTGTATCAGCCTTGGTTTAACTAAACAGCCTAAATTCTCATATATGAAATCTTGTAGGTTCGAGATGAAGAACCCAATGCTAGACAGGCCTGGGTCAAACCAGGGTAAGTAATTGTTTGATCAGTTTGCTTAACACAATTTTGAAAATAATGTGTGGCTATAGTATTGTGACCCTGTTGTGATTACTGTGAAAATGCCCTGTTGTGTTTTTTGTATGTGAGGACTTTTTATTCACTTTTATACTCTTTTTGATGGTACATAGTGGTGGATCTGGTCTGTATGGAATTGACAGCATGCCAGACCTGCGTAAAAAGAAGCCTATCCCCTTGGTCAGCGATGTGGTCAGTACTAACCTATAACTAATGTCACTCCTTCACTATATATACTGTATGTCATATGTCATCCTGTTTGTTTTGTTCTTTCTTTGTGAATGAATGCATCTCTTTCTGTGTATGAGACCACCACTGAAGTCACAGTTATTCTTTTACCTTTGAGCTGAATTTGGGATGAGATTGTTATCAACAGATGGAGACAAATATGAAATCAGACTGCTAATTTCTCTCTCCCTCCTCTCTTAAACCCGAAACTATTCCCCACAACTCTCTTGAATGCATACACTCCTTGGTCAGGCTATGGTAAGTTAATAGAACCCAGTTGCCACTCCCTTTTGCAAAATATCAAGTAGGACAAATAAAACAGCAGTTGCCTCAAACATTTATGCCTATAGCATGTTGATCTCTCTGATGGCAAACCTCTTGTTTTATACAAAAAAAAGCATTTGCATGCATTCTCTTGGTCATGGGTAGCTTTTCTTCCTACTTGATATTATCATTATGATATATAATCAACAAATCATTCCCCCACTTTTTGGTTTGTATTTTCCTTCACCTTAGCCATGTAGAGGCAAACAATAAAGGCACAGGGGTAGAATATGCTACTAACACTCTCACAAAAATGTTTGGCTGATGGTTCTGTTATTATTTTACAGTGTTGATACTGCTATACCTTTATCCTTTTTAGTCATTTCTTCTTCACTAGTTGCTTAAAGCTCATAAGCTGGGGTTTACGCTCATCGGTTGAGAATTCATCAGTGGGAAAAAATACTTTATTAACCCTACTCACCACCCTTACAACCACCCCAGCCACCTTTTTAACCATACTGACCTTCATTGTTCTAGTAAGGTGCTTGGGTCGTGGGTTGTGTGTGCTTTTAATAGACGCTAAGTTGTTGTATGTGCTTTTAATAAATGCTAACTTAGCCAAAATGTCCTTTGTCACCTGTTGTTCAGTCCCTTGTCCAAGCCAGAAAGGCGGGGATCGCTTCTGCTATGGCTGCACGGTCCTCAATCAAGGATGAGGAACTGGTGAGTACAACACTGTACTTTCTCTGCCTTCATAATTGAATGATATCATTAGTTCCCCAAAAAAAGATTTTATTTTTTATGGTGATTTAATAAACCAGTGGACATTTCACATGCTTGTAGTGCTATAGGTGTTGTGTGCCTTCTCTCTTATCTGCCATTTCTCTCCTTATAAATGAAACAGGAAATCCATGCATTTAAAAAATGTCTCCCCTCTGTAGAAAAACCATGTGTACAAGAAGACCCTTCAGGCTCTCATCTATCCCATATCCTGCACTACACCACATAACTTTGAGGTGTGGACTGCCACTACACCCACATACTGCTATGAGTGTGAGGGGCTGCTGTGGGGAATAGCCCGCCAAGGCATGCGTTGCTCCGAGTGTGGGGTCAAGTGTCATGAGAAGTGTCAGGAGCTGCTAAATGCTGACTGTCTACAGCGTGAGTACTGAATGTTGTTGAATATAAAGGATTCTGAGCAGTTTCACCAAATCATTGTCCAGTTGACCAGTTTAACATATTTCCTCACATTGACAAGCTTTCATTTCCTTAAGAAAATGTTAATAGCTTAGGTATCTCTTCACATGCACTGCTACCAGTGAGACAGTATTTAACATTTTTGTTAAATGTTTAGGTGCTGCTGAGAAGAGCTCTAAGCATGGAGCTGAAGACCGGACTCAGAATATTATCATGGCCATGAAGGACAGGATGAAGATCAGGGAAAGGAACAAACCAGAAATCTTCGAGCTTATCAGGGAAGTATATGTCATCAGCAAAGCCATCCATGCGCAGCAGATGAAGACTATCAAGCAGAGCGTACTGGACGGCACCTCAAAGTGGTCAGCCAAGATCACCATCACAGGTATAAACTTAAAGTTTACTCCTCAGCATCGATCTCAGCAGTACCACATGTGATTCTTGGTAATGCTAATTTTGTTCCTTTTGTCTTTGGCGCAATAGTCGTTTGTGCTCAAGGACTTCAGGCAAAGGACAAGACAGGATCCAGTGATCCATATGTCACTGTTCAGGTGGGCAAGACCAAGAAGAGAACCAAGACCATTTATGGCAACCTCAACCCTGTCTGGGAGGAGAAGTTCCACTTGTAAGTCATCAAAATGTCTTTGTTATCAAATGTGTGCATAATTGTAAAACTTTATTCTTGCACAAGGGTCTTCCTAATAGACTTAGTGTGTATGTATAATAGCAGGGCATACACTAGCCTGGAGTCAAAGACCACATATTGCCTTCATGCTTGTTCTTTATAAACACTACCAAGGAATTGTATCCTCTAAAATATTATTCTTTAGTTGATGTTTGTCTTTATTTTCTGTTTTGCGCTAGTGAGTGCCACAATTCCTCAGACCGAATTAAAGTACGTGTGTGGGACGAGGATGATGACATCAAGTCAAGGGTGAAGCAGCGTCTGAAGAGGGAATCTGATGATTTCCTGGGCCAGAGCATAATTGAAGTTCGAACACTGAGCGGAGAAATGGATGTCTGGTACAACCTGGGTCAGTATGCTGTGTTCTTTATGGACATACAGTAAAAAGTATACTGTTTGTATACCAGGAGTGGAATGAAACATGGTCTGTTTTATTGGTGTGTAGATGTGAAAGACTTAATGGAACCAGATTAGCATAGACAAACAAAGTATATAATAATACAAGTAAATAATAACTGCTACAACTTTAACTCTTGCAGGTATCAAGAGTAACAAATACATGTTGTTTCTCTTGGTAGTGTAATAGTGAGAAACACAACCTCTTGGATCCTAAAATATTACAGTATAAAGATATTTTGTCCCGGGGCCCTTAGATCATGACATACATCATGTTGTTCCTCATGTACCATATCTTTTTTGCTTAATACCACCTCAGGCGTTTTCTCCCTGGCATGCAAGGAAATCATCTACAACAAGCTAGATTTTATTGTACGTGACTTTCTCTTAATGAAGGATTGATGCCTCTGATGAAGCGTACAGTCTTACCACATTTGTGTGTTTGTGTTTGGTGCCAAGAGTTCCATTTTCAGTAAGTCCAGTCCGAAGCTCATTACCCACGTCTCCTTTGCCTGCAGCAGTTTTTTTCCTTTTTTTTTTACAGCGCCAATGAGTGGCCCCAAGGCGCATATTGGCCTGCGTGAAAATAGTGGCTTTTCCTGGCAAGCTTATTCTATGATGTCCCTTTGCACTTGCTCATTTTGCGATAAATAACTTGTTTCATTATAATCCCAAGTACTATTCCACAGGGTGTGAAGATATTTTCATTAGGACTAGGCCTGAAATCTGTCTTACAAGTACACAGGAGCTGATTTATCAGTCCCTTTTGCTATTTTGTATGAGCACTGGTTGTACAGCACAAATGAAGGTAGCAGTGGATACATCTCAGGATAATATCTCTTCCTGATTGTGTCAGTTTGATCATGCAGACAAACTGCATTGTCTTTGGAATTATATTTCTGAATTATCTCTGTACCTGTCTGCTTCCTTTTTAAGATCTGCCTCCTGTGTTGTTTGGTGTTGTCAGTAGACAGCTTTTATCCAGACATCAACTCACTGTTGGTCTATAAACACTTCTAAATTGATAGATTAACTCACCCACCCTTACATAGCATGTCATAGCATTATGCCATACTGTTTTGATGTCTGTCTAAAACATCTCTTGTTTCTACTTGATTAAAGTGCTAAAATTGACACTGTGGCAACAATAAATCTGCCACTGTAACAGCATGGCACTGAATATGAATGTGCCTATAAATCTGCTGTTGTTTCTTTTAAACTCTTGCGACATGAATGCACGATTTAATATCCATCTGATAATTACATGAACAAAATACCCCCTTTCAGAATCATTAGGAATTAGAATTTGAAGCAAAATTAATGATCAATCATGTTATGTGCCCAATCCATTTAAACTTTCCCTTCTTCATCTTTATCTTCTTGTGCTCCAAAGCGCCCCTCCCCTCTCTTCCTTAGTCTCCCCCTTTCTCCTCCTAAAGTATGATTATCAAGTAGCAGCACTCCAGTCGGAAATCGACCGCTCCGCCGACATGTACAAATTACCCCTAATGATGTGCCTGTCAGGGCAAATAGCAGGGGTGAGCCGCCAAGCACTCCACCTCCAGAGAAGCTCCGGCTCAAGTGTCTTCAGTGATCAGGCACAGACCCATACAGCCCACTGCCATTGTCTCCCTCACTATCAGCTGGAGGACTTCTATTAGCCGTGCCGGCTCTGCACTGCCATCAAACTGTAGAAACAGAACCCCCTACAATAGAACTGCCATGTTAATAGTCAGTAATTACTGTTGTGTTAACAGACCTGGTTTCATGTGCGTCCATGTCACAGATTTGGATTGGAGTTATGAATCAAGAATGTGTGTATTTGTGTTTAATTACAGAGAAGAGGACAGATAAGTCAGCTGTGTCAGGTGCCATTCGCCTCCAAATCAATGTGGAGATCAAAGGAGAGGAGAAAGTGGCTCCATATCACGTGCAGTACACCTGTTTGCATGAGGTATTTGATTCTACAATAACCTAAATACACAGGCTAGTACACTTTACGCAAGTACGCAAGTTTTCAGGAGTGCGTCAGTGACAGTTACGACAGGAATTTATAAAAGCCATTTAAATGACATTAACACAATGTTTCTGTCCATTACAGAACCTGTTCCACCACTCCACTGATGTGCTGGGCCAAGGTGTGGTGAAAATCCCAGAGGCTCGTGGAGACGATGCGTGGAAAGTCTACTTTGACGATGTGGGGCAAGAAATAGTGGACGAGTTTGCAATGCGCTATGGGATTGAGTCAATTTACCAGGCCATGACGTGAGTCTGACATATCACAATGGACAGAAGAACACACTCACTAGCTCTCTCTTTCTACCCGTCCATGTGTTTGTCACCTCCTTACCCCCCTTGTTAGTGGCCCTCCCTTTATGCCTTTTGCGGACATATCAAAATCTCTCTCATTGCCTGTTTGCCTCCAAATGAAAGAAAATCCATTATAAATGGGATGAGGATGGATTTGTCTCTTTGAAATGTCATGCTCCATACAGATGCCTGTTAGGGCCCATCATTCACAGAGAGCACACTCCAATTGGCCATCCTTCAGCCTAAATGTGCCAGCTAGCTGATGGCCAGATGAAATGACTGTTCGTAATAGGGATCATTTAGTGAAAACAAGATCCCCGAGAGGACACAGGCTGACCAAATAAAGGCACAGCTATGACGTGTCTTTGTAAATGGGAGGAAGAGGAGGCTTGCTGCTCAGGTCTTTATCAAGCTTTGCTTATGCTTCTCTTTCCAGGCACTTTGCCTGTCTATCGTCTAAGTACATGTGTCCCGGGGTTCCTGCAGTGATGAGCACCCTGCTGGCCAATATCAATGCCTTCTACGCTCACACAACCGCCTCCACCAATGTGTCCGCCTCCGACCGCTTTGCTGCCTCCAATTTTGGGGTTTGTATTACTGTAGCACACACACACACACAC